TCGCGTGGCGCGGGTGAAAAATGCGCAAGTCATCGGGTAATAGTTACATGAATGGCTATGTTAATTGTATTAATGGTTTTAACTTTGCCGATGGATATCGAGACCGATGTCCTCCTGGAGTCCCGGTGATCAGCCGAATGATGCCAAGTTTCCGGATAAAATAAAGAAGACAGGGAGAAAATAAATATTATGTCATAAAACGTTACACGAGAAAACATTTCCTTCAAATATTTTCGTGAGGTGCTTTTCATTTTTTCTAAAGGATAATTAAAGCGAACTTGAAAGAGAACTTGGATGGACGTCATGTCGGCCAAGTCACCGTTGCTAGAAATATCATATTACATGATAGGCATGATAAAATTCAATATTTAAAGAGGGCAATAACAGAGATGCACCTATCTGAAGCGACAGGATGCTTTCAAGCCGACCATAACTTAGGAATAGCTATGGATAAAAATACGCATTTGAGGGGATGATTTTTGACAAGGCGGTGGAGTTAAAAACACACTAGGCCTGTTGCAAAGTTTAGCTAGAGCGGGAGGAAGAGTTACTCCTTACAGAAATTGGCTCAAAAATGGCGATGATTGCGTTTTTTAAAGCTTCCCGCTTCCAAAACGGTACCACGGAAAAGGTGAAAATTTCGTAAGGGTATTCGTTCTATCCAGTGGCGTGGCGTGCTTTGCGATATATCGATCGATACGCAATTCAAACCTATGAAAAAAGATCGATTATCAGGGTGTTTGCAGCAAACATCTTAGGAATCGATTCTTTACCATATCTTCAAATGCGAGATATCGATAATCGATCATTCACGCCACTGGTTCTATCCAACTTCTTGGAAGCTTAAAAAACGCATATTTCTTACGCAGACTGTGAAGCCATGAGTGTATTAGAAACTTTTCAGATGCGCTCATCGTGATTTTTGAGCCATTTTGGTAAGAAATAACTTCTCTTTTCGCTCTGGCTGAAGTTTGCAGAAGGCCCCTTGGAACATGCCACGCTTTAGATTTGAGCTGGCGATTAGTTTTGCTGTTAGTGCTTTCTCTGCAATGCCGCACCATCACACTCTGCGTTAAATTCCCATCAGAATGACACTAGAGAGAAATTAAGACCCTCCACCGCTCGTCCTATTGACTACGTATGGAAACCACTTCTTCCAGGTCTCCGGTGTCAAATTTGTTCGACAAACATACCGATGTTTGTCAGACTTGTTGAGCATACATATCACCCAAAGCTCAACAGCTGAGAAGATGGTGACCAACGTCCAACAAGTATGTAATTCAACGGGCAACAAGAAGACTGACGACTGTAGTAGCTGACTTATTAATGCTCACAAGAAAGTATTGAGTCCCCGAAAGAGGAAATGTCCACCTTTTCCAGAGTGCGAGTGGATGGTTTCAATTTTTCTCAGGAAACACGTACATATAATGTAATGCGTAAATTCCAACCTTATCTCGCGGTTCACTGACCTGCAGCTGCTACTACGGTTGTTTCTCAATTAAGAAATTCAAGTAGAGATAAAGCAGCGCCACCTACTGCTCTTTCTAGGATCTACATGATGAAATAATTAAGTGATAACCGCTTCTAAAACTTTCTCATTGCTTCCTGACTACGCATGGTTTCTTTCGATGCATATAATTGGTGCAACAACGCTGGCAACATTCTAGGAGCCCCCCCCCCCCCCCCCCCC